TCTCCCCAACTTCTACGCTACTGGAAAAAGTACTATTTTGAACCACCCATTTGAACCGCCAATGTTTTGTACACAAAAAACATAATCTTGGCCATAAGCTTTAAAGTCAACCGTTTTTGAGAAAAATCAACTGCTATGTTGAAAAACAAGGAAAATCATTCGAAATTTCATTGAAACGTCAGAACAACTTACAAAACTGAACGTTAATGATAATTACAAATTATACTCAGTTGAATTAATAATTGTTGGAAATATCCACGCTTTATTGCCTGCATGCAGCAATTCTTTAGGAAATTTATCATGATTTTCAACATGAAAGTCGATTTTTCTCGAAAATGGTCGATTTGAGAGCATATGACTAGGAGTATCTTTTTTATGAACGAAACATTGCGGCGGTTCACATAAGGTGGGGAGAAAAACACTCATTACCCTTTGAAAATCTCCAACAATTATGACTTGAAAATAAATGAATTCTGCATTATGAGTAGGAGATGCTTGTATAAACTGTTGTCTGTGTGATGAACGGTTCCAGAGATATTCGCAAAAAAGGTTTTTTTTTTTCAAATTTCAACACTGCATCTCGAAAATGGTGAATATAAGAGGATAAGTTGATAGACACTTTTTTCATATTTTGGACGATTTTCCTCATCCAGGAGTTCTGCACATATATTATGAAACACCATGTATATTGAAGTTTTTCAACAGCGATATGATTATCGATTCGATTCGAAAAGACGTGTTTTAACGATCGATTGAAACTGTCATTTCAAATTATGAGAATTGTGAGATTGATGATTAACATCACAAAATATCCAAGAAAAGCTAGGATATTCCTTATGTACTGATAAGTGAGTGGGTTGGTGAAATCGTTCCAAAGTTAGCTCAAGTAAAAAACATATCCTGCAACTTACTTTCGAAAAACTTCACCTCTTTATGATAATAAATAACTGAATTGAGAAATGTCATTTCTATAGCAAGATGAACGAATAAAAACATGAGTGTGCAATTTCTATTTTGAAAATACTATAGTATCTTTTTTGAGTTAGTGTTATCGGTTTCAGGGCGTGTTGCAATAATAATTAACTGCCAGAATTTCGATTGATCAAAAAGTTATATCTATTGATCTCACAATATTTGGCCCATCTACCTAAATATTGATAACTATTCCACTTTTGTTCTAGAGAACCGATTAGAATCGACGATATTTTTCACGGTATCTTTCGTAATACAATATTTATTGTTTACCAAAAATTATGCGACTCCCTTTATCAATACTGAAGCAGCATTGATACACACGCGACCAACCAACCTCGTTTTTCAACAATACTTTTTTTGACATTTGTGTCAAAATAATCCACATCAGGATTTCTGTATTATTATTTGATTCAATCATGAAAAATTCATAAGAATACCACTTATGATACTACTTTTCCCGGAAATATTTGTCGATTGACCTACTCTAGCTTCCTGTTTCAATTAATTTTGTTCATGACATTGATTATAAAATCTACTCACCTATACGGCTCGGTAGTTTTGATAAAAATTAGTAGGTAACAAAGTAACAACCAACGAATATTTCTGGCAAAATAGTATCACTTGTGATATATTACATAATGAAAAACTCCCATGAGTGACAGTCATATTCATTTTTTGATATAGAGGTAGCCTTCGCAAGTATTTATTTTTTTGTGATATACATTCATGTTCCATTATCGAGGAGTTCATTTCGATTCAAATTATGTAACATTTCATGATAGAACCATTCAAATGACTCTTTCATAGTAGGTACTTATATCAAGAAATAAAACGAAATTAAAATTTGAATCGTTTCAACCGACTTCCTGGTGAACAGTTTTTCATAATTATATCAAAAGACACGCACCCTGTACTATCGAAACGTAGAAAATATGTGATAAATTGAGCAAACATCCCTACAACGTACATTATTTCGATATCTTGAACACAATATCTACCTACCAGATTCTTACTGTTACTTATTTATTCCGCAATCGAAGCTGATACTAAACCGCAACAAATTCAAGTTATTATTCCAAATAAATTTGGGATTTTCACTCCTCGTTTCTATAAAATAAAAATATGAATATTATTTCAATATACGTGTAGTAAGGACAAATCAGATGATTTGCCCCAAAATGTCACTGCGTTTAAAGAATTTTCCTATCAGAGAGCCTAAAAGAAAAATTCACTAGCTTGTCAGTGACAATTTGTATTGAAAAAATTTTTGGAGAAAGGAAATAAAGGTATATAGAAAAAATATCAAATTTTCACTTATCTTTGGACGTTTCGGGACCGGTTCTGCTCCCCAAAAAATTTGGAATAATGAATATACCACCTCCTCGATTAACCTACAGACAGTATTTAAATTCAAGTTATTTTATTTTCACAGTTTCAACAATAGGGTTTTCGTATACGCCTTTTGCTTTTTTTATTTTATTGCGTGATGTGTGTTGACCCAATGAAACAAACCTATGCGTTCAAAACGAAATTGAAATCGGTAAAAATGTAGCGAAAAATAACGTTTCTCATTCAATGGGTATATTGAGGTTGCAGGATACGTTTTTTAATGAATTTATCGAGGAATCAATAAGAACATTCAATATACAGGTTGACTGACAAAAAATGCCCCAAGCCATAGCGCGTCTATTAACAATCCGATTTTGAAAATCAAGATAGCAAATGAAATGATTTATCAGATACTACATGGTGACACCAACAATTTTTTTTCCAATTTAAACAATAACTACAGCCATTGTCAACTTTGTTTTCAAATGTCATTGTATATTTATTTTCTGCTAGAATTTTTTTCTTCTGAATACAATGATATATATTTGTAGACAAAGTTGACTTCCGCGCAAAATTTGTTAAAAAAAATGTATGCTCCGTCGACAAGAAATGAATCTTTTCATCTAATTTTCTATTGATTCATCGACGTCCGAGTCCGTTCCTTATAAAAAAGACGTTATAATGTTGAGAAAATGATTCAATGAGAACAAATGACTATCTTAGGAAACTACAAACTGAAAAAGTATAATGAAGGAACCATTTCTTGATGACGGAGAATATTTTTTGCAAATAATTTCGTACAAAAGTCAACTTTCTATACCAAACATTGTATTTAGAAAAAAAAATCTCTATCAGAAAAATAATTGACTTATTTGCAAATAATTTCGCACAAAAGTCAACTTTCTATACCAAACATTATATTTAGAAAAAAAAATCTCTATCAGAAAAATAATTGAAGAATATACAATGCTATTCGCAAAAAAAGGTGACAATGGCTGTAGTTAGAGGTGAAATTGGAAAAAGGAATTGTTAGTTAATTTTAGAACGATAGAGGCGTTTTTGTCAGCCAGCCTGTATTTATATGTTATTCAAACGCATTTTCCACCCATTCAACTAAGAATGAATGTTGAATCAACGTATACATGTGCCCATTGAGAAGCTGATTATTGAAAAGAAAATGATACAGGTTTCAATACCAATTGCGATAGTCACTGCCACGTTGCAGTTTTTGATGTTGAAGAGTCAAATAAATAGTTAACAGGTATTCAGTATAAATGAGTAATGATTGATATATATGTAATATCCAGTGAATTTTATGAATAATTTGAACAGAATTGATGTTTCCATATGTTCCCTGCATATGAATGGAAACCAAGATATTTAAAATGTTCGAAAAAATCAGGCTACCTTATGGTGTTCAAAAATATTTTCAATTGTAAGTGGTCCACTCCATATGGTGTCTGAAAAATCACCGAAGAATTCTTCCTTTATTTTCGTTTCTGTCTATGATATTTGAAGACGAATCGTTCATTCAAAAACGATAATCAGTCATGTTTTCGTGAAGAGTCAAGTTACAGTTGAAAGAAGGAGATATATTGAAATCAAGTGAATGGTTCAAGAGGAAATTAATGTCAAACTCAGTGTGTTTTTTGATAGTGTATGCATTCTGGATAATGTTCAACTATCAAATTGATTTTAACCAAATTACGAAGGTTTGAGTATACAGAATGTGCATGTAGAATATTGATCTTTTACAGTAGGGCGCTGTAGTTCAAGCCATGTTATTCCGTATTACATTAATTATTATTAATTAATTGTTTAAAGTATCTGCCGAAAACTAGAAAGCTCTTTTCGGTCTTGATATATTCTCTATCAACAATTGGCTATAAATTCGAATGATTTTTCCTCAATAAATGGCCAACAGTTTATGTTCCGTTTGTTGAACTTGAAACTTGAAAAAAATAAACTTTTTCTCGAAGATTCAAAGTGTGAGCCATGTTATTCCGTATTACATTAATTATTATTAATTAATTGTTTAAAGTATCTGCCGAAAACTAGAAAGCTCTTGACCCTATCAACAATTGGCTATAAATTCGAATGATTTTTCCTCAATAAATGGCCAACAGTTTATGTTCCGTTTGTTGAACTTGAAACTTGAAAAAAATAAACTTTTTCTCGAAGATTCAAAGTGTGAGCAAAACACGTGTAGTGGCGTTGACAGATATAATCCAATATCCTGTTAGATGTTTTGACAATAATTCCTCTTATTTTTCAAAGTAAAACAGTGTAGGGAAATGATGAAACAAAAAAAGATCGTAACATAACTACATAATATATCGTATCAGTTAGAATTTTTTAAGGAATGGCATATAGGAACTATGTAGATAAGTACTCGATTCTTTCTAATTTTGATGAAAATTATTAACTTCGGATGAAGTACCTAAAATACTCTTCAACAATGGAGATTCAATATAAACTTAGTTAATCTAATATGATATAACTAACAAAAATGTGAACAGCTAATTAACAATTGAAATTCAATGAAATTAGCATTGAGAGATGAGGTACCTGAATTCGCTAGTGTTCAGCTTCAATTGAGGATTTGTTGATTTTCTGAGGTCACTATCACCAATTTCGTATAAATAAGGTAAATGTACAATTGGAAATTCACTAAAAACTATGCAACAACTAAAGAATCAATCCGATTTCAGCCTTTGATTCACGTCTGTCCCGTTCATGTAGTACTCACTGACATTAGTAATTTTGCTAGTACCATTTTGAATGGCACCATTTTGTTTGATGCCATTCTGAACTGCGCGATTTCGGACGTCTCCATTTTGAACACATCCATTCTGGACAGCGCCATTATGGACAACGCCATTATGAACAACGCCGTTTTGAACAGTTCCGTTTTGAGCGGCGCCATTTTGGATCGCGCCATTTTGAGATTTCGCTGAGTTCATCCTTTTTCTGTTGTATGTCTGATTGTAGAACTCTTTGAAGAGGAAGAAGAACATGACAGCATGCATACCAATCCACCATACGAACGCACGGGGATAGTTACAGTTGATGAAGAGAAGCTGGAACGCATGTATCATTATGGCGACGAATTGAATCTGAAAAAATATATATATAGGTATAACTTACTATCATAACCATGTTAACTCTTCAACTTTCTTTTCACATTCAATAGGGGAAAAATTTCATTGGTGAGTATAGCTGATCAAGGTGGTTTCTGATTATACAATATTTGTATAGGTACCATTTGTATAGGGTCTTGCAAGTTTTATATACGAAACATTGGGTGTTGTATGAATTTTGTTCAATTCTTTGTGAGGACATAACATATACGAACTTTACCCAGTATATTATTTTGAAATTTGGTAAATCCTCCTTCTTCTACCAAAGCGACTCACCTTTATCAGTCATGAGTAAAATTCAGGTCCGGATCAACGAAAGTCTTATTTCTGGTCCCCAAAAAGAACACCCTGTATTTTAGAATTAGCATCATCTGCTTATATATTCAAGAAGTGCACAAAGAGCTGAATCAAATTGTGTACTCTTTATTTTTTCGCATGCTCTTTCACTAAGGAATTTCCGATATAGAATTTGAGGGTTTATGCATTTGGATAGGTAAAATTGGAATGTTTTAGTGTTGCCAATCGAATATCGAAAATTAACACAAACCACCCAGTATACTCTTCTGGAATCCGATACACAAGTCCTCCTTTTTCTACCCAAGTGACTCACCTATCATTCACGAGAAGAATCCAGGCCTGGACTCTGTATTAACGGAAATTGATCATATTTCTGGGTCCCAAAAAAGACATTCTGTATTTGCGAATTTCCATAATTTGTAGACATATTTGAAAAGTGCACGAGGAGCTGAATCGAATTTTCCCGCATGCTCTATATCACTAATGAATTTCTGATTCTGAATTCGAGGTTTTATGCATTTGGATTATGTAAAAATCGAGGTGTTTTGAGTTTTCAGAGATAGTCCCACTTGGTCGTTGAATATATCATTGGTATTCCTCTCACAGTAGCGAATTTGATTATGAACCTAGCTATCCAACTTTACCAAAATATACGGGGTGTTCCATGAGAAAATGAATATAATAGGTTACGGCAACCATCATTTAATTGTCAACCTGTATAGAATTGTCAATGATTCCAATTGATGGTTCGCATATCATACTATGAAAACAAACGTTTCAAATTTTTCAAAATTCCTCACTATAAAGTACTCATTAAATAAAAACGAGATCGGCAATTTTTCAATTTCTCCCTGAAACGAATGAAGATATCAAACTTCCAATTGCGTCATTTGAGATTTTTCTAAAATCGAACCCTTAATAATAAACCGATTTATTAAAAGCCTGAACACATGTTTAGCTACCTATGTTAGCATTTTCAGGAGAAGATGAAAACAGTTTTGATTTCCATCTTCCGGAGAAGATTGATACATCTTCAATCTTCTCCTGAAGAACAAGGGCGTCGAGGCGTTCAATGAAACGGTTTCGTTAGTGGTAAAACAGTATATATCAACATCAACGATGATATGCTATAGCATATTCTGTAAACGACGTATTGTATAGTACTATTGACGAGTTCATCATGTTAACTGATTTAGTCACATCTATGTCACCCCTCTTTCACTGTTAAAAATACAAAAGAATAATGGTTCTTGATTGGGTCGCGCATACAATCAATCCATTTTCAACCAAAAAATCTGGAAAAACCAGGAGTCTGCAGCATGTTGAATAGAAATCAATATACCTATCGCTGTGGAATGTTCTTGTAGGAAATATTCAAACAAAATATTCAAACAAACATGATTTTGCCCTATTCATTTTACTCCTCTTCACCTTCAAAAATTTGATATTATGTCATTGGGAATAGGAGGAAAAAATAAGGTTGCAAATTTTGTTTATCAAAATTACGATTTATGCCACAATAAAATAAACTCATGGTGTCTCCTGATTTCGACTCATACAATTTACTATTATTTCACACCGAAAATCGAAAAAATGGCAATCTGTGCTTTTGGATAAAGAAGTCTGGAAATAATACGAAAGAAATACCATGGAATGAATTTATATAGAGTTTTCTGATTCGAGCCCATTTTCCTCGAAGTTAACCACACAAACCAGTACGACAATAAGTTAACCAGTCAATTTCTCTCGAAGTGTATCCCAAACTATGACGTAATTGTTAACCGAACACACCAACCAGCTCACTGAGGTGGTTCACTGAGTAGTTAAGGCTTTTGATTGGTCACTGGATTGGGTTCTTGTTGTTGTAATAATCTGAGGTCATATAATTGATGATTGAGACAAAATGATTATATTTCTGAAGAGTGATCTCATTGTATTATTGATAATAATCAATATTTGATTCATTTTGAATATGTAGGTAGCGAATTGTTCAAATTTTCTTGAATTTGGATAAGTTGAGTACCTAGTTCCCATATATAGTCCAGATAACACGTACTTTCCGGACTAGACAAGAAAAGTGCTTTGAGGAAAATCGTTCAGGAAGTGTGTGTACTTTACAAATGGTTACCGAAAAAAACAACATAAATGAAAAAATGTTTTGTGAGTTTCGTGTCAAACTTTTTCACTCGTACAAAATACCACTTCACTCATTTGTTCGTTTTGATTATAGTTTTGTCTCATATTTTCTTGAACATATACTTACCATTTGCATTGAAGTGAGGTATTTTTTCCACCACAAATACTTCTGTACACGTGGTCCCATAGCACTCAGCATGTAGTAAGTGTACATCACAATATGCACAAATGTGTTCAGGAATCCGAAGAATGTACTATGGCCACCTATAGCAAAAAAGTTAATTAAAATCGAATTATCGATATTAACGGATGAACGGTGATTCCTTGTGATATTTTAGGAGATAAAATTCATATAAACATGTGTCCTAACTTGCTTGCACCAGTGGGTGAATTCATCGATATTTATGGTGAATGTCATTGTACACCACCCGTTTTTCTAAGTTTCATATTTTTATCAGATTGAACTATTGAAATAATAACTTTTTTATCCTCTGTGTGATTTTTGTATCTAGCTTAGGTTTTGAGGAAACAATAAAAATTCGATATGACTTCAAATTCTAATGTAGGTGTTTTCAAGACTTCCCTTAACCCCAATTAGAATCATTTCGAAATTTTGGGGCTTTCTCAGTCTCCATCCATACTGAATTTCGGCACCATGAAAGCCTATACCAGGGGGTTATAAATAAAAACAATTATTAATACTTCCAACTTCAACATCCTGTATCTCAAAAATGAACTTCATTTGCAAGACTGTCACAAGGAAACACCCTTTGAATTTTTTCGGTGTTATTTAGATACACCCTGTGAATGTTATGACTGTTTTATGCATTTTTTGAGTTACCATTGTTATGCTGATATTCACAGAGGCATCTGTTCTCTATTGGAAGTATCACCTACTTATACGCAAAAATGTCCCTCCATGTCTGATTTCACGGGGATGATGAAACTGATGATTATTTACATTCACGTTACGACCTTTTTTTACTGAGCAAACCCAACCTATTTTGCAGAGTTCTACCTACCCTAGCAGGGGGGACAACTTTTTTTTCAAACACCCTGTATAGATTGAAAATTTCAAGATGATACAATGTCGAAAAGTGACAAATAATAGACTCTCATTTTACTCACCATGTGATTTTTATTGGAATAGCTGAAAATATACAAGGTGTCCCATTCAAAATGGAGGAGTATAAGGGGTATTTCTGCTAAAATCTGAAGTAACAATTGGGTAGGTAATTGAGAACGTCAGTGTATGTCATATGTATGTACCTATACCTATAATGCACGTACAGAGGCCATCACATTTCATTTCTTTATCTACAGAGTTATTTTTAAGAAACACCAGGTATATCCCTATAGTAATTCTCAACCATGCTCAAATTATTACAATTCCGGTAGAACTACTCAGGTTTGCACTAGTATCTTCAGAATTGGCTGTCACGGAATTTTTGAAATTGAATCTTTCAGATTTCCAACCATGTTTGTATATAGTCGCAGTAAAATTGAGAATTTCATTGAAACTAATAACCGCGGTCAGATATACCGGGTGACTACGGAAGTATTGCCTACGGAATAACTCAGTTATTGTATGAAGTAGGTTTGTGAAATTTGGAGCGTCGATATAATGACATAAGAGCTAGAATTTGAGCATATTGACATGTCGAAGTTAACTTCCGGTCTGACCGGAAGTAACATCAACTTTCTTATTTTAAATGGAAACCCTATTTTTTTTTCTTTTCGCTTTATTCAGCATTCAATTCCCTTTCTAATGACATATCACAAGTTGGTATCTAACCAGAAACTAGCTCAGAAAAAAAATATTATTGAAATTCACCGAGTAGGCCGTGGAAGCAAGATGAAAGCCAAAAACTGAAACGTTGGCTATGGAACCATACGTCACTTGATAACAGTTGCTACTACTGTGATATTTTATTTTCATTCGTCGGCGTTATAAAAAGCCGCCAAAAAAAATATTGGAAAACTTGGGAAAAAACAATACTCTGTAGGTCCATTACTTAAATAGGAACATACAACTTTTTCTTGCCTGTACTATTCAGCATAACCATTCCTTTCTGATGATATAATAGAAAGTCATTTTTCAAAATGAAATACCAAAAAATCCAATTATTATTCTTCAAATAACAAAAAAACAGATTTATCGAAAAAAAAATTCAAGATACCAACTTGTGATATGTCATTAGAAAGGGAATTGAATGCTGAATAAAGCGGAAAGAAAAAAAAATAGGGTTTCCATTTAAAATAAGAAAGTTGATGTTACTTCCGGTCAGACCGGAAGTTAACTTCGACATGTCAATATACTCAAATTCTAGCTCTTATGTCATTATATCGACGCTCCAAATTTCAGAAACCTACTTCATACAATGACTGAGATATTCCGTAGGCAATACTTCCGTAGCCACCTGGTATATCGTCATTTGGGGGGTTTTGGGGAAACCCCAAAAGTATTTTCTTTTTAAATGATATGTTCTTATTATAATCAAATAACTCTAAAGGTTTTCGAATTATGAGGGTTTCTTTATTAACTGATTGAAGGGACTGCACTGATGTGAAATATTTGTGATACTATATGCATAGGCGTAACTTATAACTCTATACTTGCCTGGAGTATATTTCACACCGAACCACACTGACATTGGCATAACTCCATGATGGATGACGTGTAGAGTGGAAATCTGATCGTTCTTCTTCCTCAGTACGAAAAAAATCTGAAAAAAATAAAAACAGTAAGAATTATTACACACAGTTCATCTAACGCATTTATGCAATACTGAATACTGATAATAATAATGTCTATTGTAAGGTTATTTTGTAACTTCTCACGTTCTCATGCCTCATCATAGTTGTCAACTAATGTATTCGACAAGTCATAACTTCTGAAATATTAGGTGTATCGAAATTATATTTGGTATTGGTGAATGGTATGTGACGAGAAGAGTTTTCTCTCATTTTCCAAATTTTTTTCACTTCCGGTTTCACCAGAAATGGCTCCAGTTTTGAATTTCTATATAGAACACCCTGATCCCAGATAGCACAATATCATTCATAGAACGTTCATAGGATATGTTTCGAGAATATTTGAATATTCTCACAATATGATACAAATATTCTAGGGATGTTTTATGAACATTCAGAATGGACTGTTTTAAATATTCTGAGAATATTCCTATTATATTGAAGGAGAAGGAAAGAAATTGGAAAAATTGATGAATAAATTGAATAGCAAGATGACAACACTAAATTAGTGGGATATAATCAGCATTGAGGCTAGAGAATAATAAGTTGTGTCAGTGTATACATTATAAATATTGATACAAGAATAGTAACATCAATATCATTTATTTTGATACGATTCTAAATATTCTCAGAATATTCAAAAATAATATTCCCAGAACTTTCAAAAAGAATATTCTGAGAATATGTCCAATTAATGTCCATAGAATATTAGCTGCAGGATGAGAATATTCTATAATCATTCTAAGAACATTTTATAAGAATATTCTGGAACAGGTATATTTGAACGTTGTCTGGGATATATATCGTAATATTTTTGAATTTCTGGATCAGAATGTGACAATTCAATCGCAAATGAATTAGTGTTGTTGAATTCTTCAACAAATAATCCTTCATTCGGGAAGTGCTTGTCAAGTAATGGTCGCCATTTGTCAAATGATAGTTATACACGAAAATGTAATTTTGTCAACTTGTCTTATACCTATCTATCATATAAGGCTCTTAAACATTGCAATTGTTCCTACATTTCGATAAGCCTACATTTCGTTAGGCCCACATTTCTTTAGGCCCACAATTCGAGTAACCCACAGTATCCGATCATAGGTACATACGGTACCCGAATGATGCACTATAGCCAAATATCTAGATATACCATTTCCCAATCTATGGCTCTATCAATTCCGAAGACTAAATATAAGGAAGGAAAATATCCTTCCTGCATATGAAAAGACAATACCTTTCATAGAAAAATTGACCTAACTTGACCTGAATGAACCTTCTTCCTGGAAAGTATATTTTTCGGAAAGTTACTTGAGGGAGCAAAAGAGACTAAATTTTTCAAAACAATCTAATCTATCTCGTTATTTTAAGAATCTAACCTAACTCAGCATATATCAACCTTCTTTCTAGAAAGTATAGGTATTCTTCGGAAAATATCCTATTTGCATAAGAAACTGCACCTTTTCTTCATGAAGAATATATTTTTCGGCAAATTACGTATACTGCGTGGTACTTGGCATGTTCGTGTATGTTCGAAGATTGTAATTGTATCGAAATGAAGGCGTAACGAAATGTGGAAACAACGCGATGTGGAAGTAATGAAATGTGGATGCAACGAAATGTTTCCATCTGAGATCTTTAGATAAATTTGCGTAAAAACTTATAACAACCTGATCCAGAATAATTCTGGATGAGACAATTATTATTGTCTCATACAGAAAATGTTACAATCTCAAGATTCAGAAGCGGTGCCATTTCCGGTGAATCCAAAGTTGACCTAAGATAGAAAAGTATCTGAAAACTCACCTCTTTATATACCAAATATAATTTCGATTCACCTTTGATATTCTAGAAGCTATATGACTTGTCTGATAGGTTCGTCGACTTCTGGAATACCTAGAATACCTACCATATCAATAATTAATAAAGCCTGAATACCACTTTCGGCAACTATGTTGCCATCCTCAGTAACACTGAAGAGGACATACACGATATAATTTTTTGATTTTATTTTGACTCCAGGTCCTCACATCTATGTGTCAATCTAGGTGCATACCTCATTGTGTAATCATTTTACTGCTACCCTTTGAATTTTACTGACACAAAATGTCTCAGAAGTATGAAAAATGTTCGAGAAATCATGTATGCAATTTTGACTGACATTCATAAAAATTGTATTTCTTGAAGAAACTGATTGTGCATTTATATTTTGACGAAGAGCTTCACTCAATAGGATGTTTCACCGTGTAAAGATTTGCTGAGCTACAGTGCCCAAAAAACGGCAAATGCTGTAACTTCTGAATCAATCGAGGACCTATTCTGAAAAGTAATCCCAACTAGCATTTATAGTCGCGATTACGTAATTACGACTATTGGGTCGACTATTAAGTAATATTTACTAGTTGCGGTTACGTTATAATTACGTCGTTACTACGTATTTACGACCAAAATGGGGAACAAATCACGAGTAATTATTACGGTTTGCCGACGTAGCGGGAACTCACACAATTACGTAATGCTTACGACCCGTCGACGTCGAAATTACGTAAAGATGTAGTAAATTTTCCTACCTGACTTTCTATTTCTTTTCCACTTCATAAAAATATTATTTTCTCTCTTTATTATTCTTCATTTCATCCATGAAGTTCACATTCACGAAAAATGAACAAGTCCAATATGCCTAACCATTCAATAAATAATACAAGGACAAACACGCGAAATAATTGATACTCGAACTTGAAAAATTCGAACAACATTCAGTTTTTCGATAAATGTGATGATTTTGCCTCGAAATTCAAGATGCGCCCACAAAATACGGCTCATTTCACCAAAAATATGGTTTTATTTCATTCGGCTATTTTTCAAAAATCATCGTAAATCATGTTAATTTCCATTATTATGCAATTTGTGATCGAACGAATGCTATTATTCTTCATAAAATGATGTTTATCAACAAGAAAAACCAAAATTATTTCCTGTTCAAATGGTTATCACATCAATCAATATGGCTTCCAATCGAAAATGAATCAGAAAGTTACTTTTGGAACTCGTCAGTTATGATAACCTATGTATTGGTAACTTCAACTGAATATAATTACCGAAAAGTTGTTTCAACTATGAAGGAATTGTTTGAGTAGGAATTACCAATATGTTACTTGAAATATCACCAAGAATTGACTAAATTATTAGGTGATCGATCAAGTAACGACAACGTCGTAGAAACCTAATTGGTGACCATAGAGTAATTGCAACTGTGAAGCCTTCTTGGGGTGGTAAGCGTTACCGTAATAATATATCCAAAGTTCCGAAACCTTAAGAGTAGTTTTGAGGAGTGACAGTTTCGAAATAGTTACTTCGTAATAAGCCATGAGAATTTCTCACTTTGAAGTTATTATCTAGTGTAAAAACTACGTAATTTTCACTCACTAAATAACTATCACTGACATTTATACTATGAAGTTCTGAAATAAGTGATAAATACGTTATTATCACTAAATATAGGTAATAGTTTCTTGAACCATGTTGCCTGTGACTGAAAATGCTAGTTGGGATGGGTAGTTAGTATATCAAATCAATCATTTATTGAAGAAACAGTTGTTGTCAACTATTGTTTGTATTATTATTAGTGTAACATTATTTTAATATTTCACTATTTTATATCGACCTTAGGTACTGTCGACCTACATGCTTTGTAACCATGGTGTATTTCGTGTAACAATAAAGTATAATTCTCTCTCTCTGTTCAATCACTTCCGGTTTTACTGTAAACGACCCCAACTTTTGATTCCATATTCAGTTAGGGATTGTCAAAAGGACCCATCGGGGCCTATACTTGCTTGGCTATAGCCTCCCCACCTACTACTACTACTACTCGGGATTGTCATAACGAATTCAACAAAACGGGGTTCACAAGGGTTATTTCATGGTGGAATTATAATATGGTGTGCTACGACGCATCTTCGTATACGTCACTGCGAGTTAAACAATTGCTCGCAGTCTGAGCTCGCAATTATCAATTCGTCCAAGTCGCCGTGATCATTTTGGTGCGAGTATAAACTCGCAATGACGTTATGCGCAGAGAAGACAAATTCAAGATACGTGAGTAGCACACCATATTATATTTCCACTATAGGTTATTTCAAACTATAACGAAGATATTTCGTCTTCAAAGTTTCCGTAAGCTCAATGAGCGTGACAGAGGGAGAAGTTTCGATATTGCGCGGTCGCTTCAAATACATATTATTTGTTGATTCATGAACCATATCCCAGTAGTTAACTCCCTGTTCCATCCCTTGCCCTGCACTAGAGACGCCTATGGAATAGAATAACAAAGAGCAGGAAATATCGAGATTGAAAATATGACATACTTACAGTGTCCATGAATTCGGTGAATTTGGAGAAGTAGTACCACCACGATGCATGTACCATCTGGAACACAAAATAACAATTTGATATTTTCAGCACACGAAATTATCAACTGATTCTTTCAATTCGTTGACAAAACTTAAGGAGAACAATTTTCTTCTTAGGTAATTCACTAATCGATACGAAGTAACATACAGGCAATGAAATTATTCTTGGGGAAAGGTGCATCCATCCGGATGAAATTTGTAACAGATAAAATCACAAAGGTGACATAGTTTTATTGTGATTAATTTGTTTCATGAAGATAAAAAAACAACTCTTGAACCATCAACAATTGGATAATCATATATACGATTAATTTAATTGGAATATGGATATGGATATGGTCTGGGAAACATGGACGTCGACAGGACGTCCCTGCTGCAACGTCATGAAACTGACGTCTTATTTTACCCTCCTAAGTGACGTTCACTCGACATCGAGATGATGACATGATTCTCACGTCATAGAAAGTACGTCATAATAGCGCCATAAATTGGTGTGTAACGTCTCTGACGAAATATCACCAATTAGGGACATTACAGTGAAGTGATCATTCGTCATATGGTTGCCTGGGACATGAACAAATTCACACCGAATCGATTGAATTTTGATTTGAGAAGGCCTGAATTTTGAGTGAAATGAATAAAACATTGATAAGTAGTGGTAATTTGGGAATGAAATGAATAAAACAGTTATACAAATGAAGGCTGTGACGAGGAAATGAAATATAATTTGCAACTAAACTGCAATTCTTATCTGCCCAAGTCGCGAATATGATTTGGAACTGGTTCATCACATATTAATTAGTACTGAAAAATATAGGTTTCTATATCATTTGATGATATGGAGGTTAATTGTAAGTTTTATCTTGAAATGAAGTCACGAGAAACTCGGCATGAGCTCAACTAACAACAAATATTCTATGAACATTCAATTTGACATATTCTCAGAGTATTCTTCTTGATCATTCTGAGAATATACAGAATAATCCTATCTAAATATGATATTGATGTTATTCTTGTATCAACATACATAATGGTTTTTCCATGGTTTTTCCTGACCCAACCTATTATTCTCTATAGAATCTCTAGCCTCAAAAGTAATGAAGAATTGACATCTTGCAATTCAGAATGTAACACAAGTTCTTTATTGTATTCAGTTGATTATAGAGGAATATTGAGAAGCCTGTGGATATAGCAATGGAAAGCCGCCAATTTGTGCTTATGAGGGTGATTGGAGAAAGAAGGAATGACATGGTCAGTTTGTGTTGGGTTTCGGTATATGCTGAATTCCAGTCTGTCTCATTTTTTGATCGTCAAATCTGAGAAATTCAGTTTATTGTCTATTTCAAGTTCAAGAGTAAATTTCATGTTAGAATGCATTGAGTTTATTTCTTGTAGAAGATTGTTAGCAGTGTCTTTTTGAAATTTCATAAATATTACTTACTTGCAGGTATAGCACTGATGATGGCATTTTAGCCGAAAGCGCTTTGCGATTCTATGATAGATTTTACAGGAAATACAAAATCTCTTCATTTCATTGAATATATCCTGAACTTTAGTTAGATACGTAAAGTAGTTAGATGATATCTTGGTAGATGACTTACGACGCATCATTTTATTACTGGAAAAATCAATTTGAATGAATTTTGCTTCTGAATGATAGATGATGCATCTGTGGAACTAGAAACGAAACAACTTTTTTTTGTATGTTTTTTTAATTCGAACAAATAAGTCCATTTTGACATGTAGCGAATGTCACGCGACCCCGACCGAGTAGACCATTTTCCATGATTTTTGAAGCTAAACTTAACGCCCATGTCGAATTTCGAAATGAAAAATGTTTGAAAGTACTTTCCATATGATGCCGACTTTATGAAATACACTGTATGTATATGGACAAACAAACTGCATAGAGAATGAGAAGATACATCGAATGTATGGATGAAAACTTTGAGAAGATCAGAGCCGGCTTGTGTTAACCAAGCGCGAGCATGTCCATTAGATTAATATCTCTGTCTGAGCAAACCAGTAATTTCTACGACGGCGTATTAGCGCCACAATAACCTATTGATTTTTTCATCTGAATCTCAAAATTTTGAAATTTTTCTCAAAATTTCGAGATTTTTTTCTCGAATTTGTTACCTACATGATAACAACATTGTGTATGTTTGCATTCAGTTATAAGTGGTTGTGCTTTTGCGAAAGTTGTCACAGACCTCACCTAGTAGACCTATTTATGTGTTAAATGGAGAACACTAATACCAATGAAAGAGATATTTCTTCCTTGGTTTGAATTACCATGAAATATTACAATGTAAATATATAGAATATCCTTGCGATGAAGATATTTACGGTTTATGCAGAATTATAATGGAAGAAAAGGGTTATAGTATACAGGATGATCCATTTGAAGCTGTTGAATTATACTTAGCATTGAGGGAAGAGTTGAACAGACTGTTATAAGAAATATAATATAATTGAGGCATATCTTTTTCTATGCTGATGAGGTTGAAATTTTTGTAGTTGTACTATGACTTAGCTCATGTTATATTTAACTTTTGGTTTTTAGTGAATAAATATTAGTACTTTTCCCGTTCAGATCTTGAGTTGAGTATCCAAATGTGAATATTGAAACGATTTTTTGATATGTATTTATTATTCTATTCTCAGTTTATTGGCACACAATTACACGTATTGATATTCAGTATCATTTCATTTTTACCATTCCTTTTCCTAATTTATCCTATGATACGAATCGTGATCAGATCATAGGATCAAATCTTTTACGAAGAAGCTGAACGAGCATGACAAAAATTATTTTTTGGTCGTTTTAGTATAATTGCAAGATTTATCTGGCATTTAAGCTGATTGAGAGATTTATCTCGCAATTAAAGCTTAAATGACAGATTTATCTTGCATTTAAGCTAATTGCAAGATTCATCTACAGATTTGTCTCGCATTTAAGCTAATTGCAAGATTTATCTAATGCGTCTTTCATTCTGAATAGATAGGTCAGGGACCAGCACAGGACCGCTCTCGTTTTCTTTGTTGTTTCAATTTATATAGTGCACCTATATCATGCACTTCACACTTCTGATATCTACCTACTTTAGACTCTTTAATTGACAATGCAGTATTGTAACTGAATACACGCATCCATAATGTGGATTATTTTGAGAAAAAATCTCAAAATTTTGAGATTTGTTCTCAATTTAGATAAAAAAATTTAGAAGCATGCATCGCTGTACTGTACCAATCACTAACTTATTGTCTTTATGGAAGGAGAATTGCATCTCACAGATATTGCACAAGAATTCAGATAGCAACAGATGGAAGTTGTGTAGCTTTGTTCCTTGTTGCAAGAAGTTGTAGAACATTTTTCGAAATATTTTCAGTTATTCCTCGCTCTCTTGTGATATTACACACATTCGCTGTTACTGAACATCGATGATGAATATAACCCATCCCCACATGGTTAAGAAGGAAGGACTGTTACATACCCTGAGTGTGCTTGGTTTATTGGAATAGTCGACTGGCTGGCAACTTAAACTATATTCTCCTGTTAACCATCCACCTTTTCCTATCTGGAAATAAATAACTTCAGTTGAAACTATGGACAATGTTCTATTAAGGTGGATATTCCAATATAGGTACAAAAGGTATGTCACTTATAATTACACAAGAGCTTTTTTGTCGAAGTAAACTTGGCTCAAGTTTCGTTTAGCTGAAATCAGTTATGAAAAAACTGTTGCTATGGCAACGATCGTCATGATAACGAGTAAACAAAAACCCGATTCCCGTGGTGAGAAAATGCGTGGTTGCCAAATTGTATCGGGTTTAGTATAGCTGAAATCGGTTATGGAAAAACTGTTGCCATGGCAACGATCGTCATGGTAAGGAGTAAACAAAAACCTGATTCCCGTGGTGAGGAAATGCGTGGTTGCCAAGTTGTATAGGGTTTAGTATGGCTGAAATCAGTTATGGAAAAACTATTGCCATGGCAACGATCGTCATGGTAACGAGTAAACAAAAATCCTATTTCCGTGGTGAGGAAATGCGTGGTTGCCAAGTTGTATCGGAGAATTATTGTTTCATTCATTAATTTCAAAAACACTCTTCAATGTAACCATCCTTCGCGTGCCGGAGCTATTCGACAAAATAAAAAAGGAACAGAGATATTTTGGAATTAATATTCATGACGAGGTATCGCGCTGGATATAGGAAGTGAGACTACAGGTACTGATTGTCCAATACAGATGGAAACATCTCGTTAGGCCCACCCACATTTCCATTTGCCTTCATTTCGATTCACTCATACCTTTCTTCACGCGCACATTTTGATTCAGCAACAGTCTTCAAACATACATGAACGATGCCATGCTACCAAATCTGAACGATGTTGGAAAATATATGTTTTTCAAGAAGAAGGTTGATTTAGGTCGAGTTAGGTTAGATTGTTTGGAAAAAGTAGTGTCCTTTTTTATGCAGTCTTCAAACACACACGAACGATGCCTTGCTACCAAATCTGATCGATGTTGAAAATATATATTTTTTATAATAAGGTTCATTTAAGCCGAGTTAGGTTAGATTGTTTAGAAAAAGTAGTATCCTTCCTTATGCGCTATTTGTTCCGCACTATTTTGTCGCTCGCTATTTTGTCTAGCTCTGTTCAATAACAAAGCCTATTTTTTCCTGACGTTATTCCCATATATGATCGTCAGAGAAGTAGTAATTTGGGAATTAATCAACGACGAACAATCTTCAAGAAATTGATAAGAAGGGTATTTATTCGAATCAAGTTATTGTTTGAATACTAGCAAGAACTTTTGTGAAACAAAATTTGAGGATCGAAGATGCGCTGATTTCAGCAACACTAAACCCGATACAACTTGGCAACCACGCATTTCCTCACCAATGGAATCGGATTTTTGTTTACTCGTTATCATGACGATCGTTACCATGGCAATAGTTTTTTCATAACTGATTTCAGCCAAACTAAACCCGATACAACTTGGCAACCATGCATTTCCTCACCACGGGAATCTGGTTTTTGTTTACTCCTTACCATGACGATCGTTGCCATGGTAACAGTTTTTCCATAACTGATTTCAGCTATACTAAACCCGATACAACTTGGCAACCATGCATTTCCTCACCACGGGATTTTGTTTTCTGTTTACCTGTTACCATGACAACGGTTGCCATAGCAACAAATTTTCCATAACTGATTTCAGCTAAACGAAACTTGAACCGTAAACTTGACATTTTATTGAAAATTTTGTTGCCTTGAATTAAGGGTCATTAGGACGAGAAATTTTTGCTGGCAACACTGCAAGTTTTGACATTTTGACGGCACTCTCAACCTAAAGTGCGAGAATACCATACATAACATCATGCATCGAGTCATATGATGATATGAAGACATTGTTCGGCGTTTCCCTCCAATTCTCATAACAATTTTCAATAGAAAAACCCAAAAACTTGTAGGTTATTGAATGTTTTTTCAACATATGACTCAAAATGAATGCAAAATATATATATTGTCTGTTATAATACTCACTTCACTAAACAACCATATACTAAAAACAACTTGTAGAAAGTTATATACTATGAGAGTATTTTTCAATTGGAAGGGCTTCCTATTTTCCATAAATTTTGGTCCTAGTACCTGAAAAAAAAATGATATGCTCGGTTAGATAGATTCGAAAGTACGAACAAAATGACGATGGTTTTTATGAGTAAGGTGGTTGGTTCTAATCAAAGTTATATAATCTCTATAAAAAATCCGTCAAGGCTGTCTCAAACTTTATGCTGTGGCCCTTGGGCACACAATAATTTCGGGCCCCTTTGGAAAGTGATTATGACGCATTACAATAAAATTTTCCTATTATAGGTGATCTTTTATTTGTCATGTAGAATCAATAAATAGTAGATTGTTTAATTAGGTTCAAAAGTGACACTTTGTTTCACAAGCGAATTTTGCAATTGCGAGGCGGAGCGTTTAGCGAAGCCGAGCGAAAGCAAAATTTGCGAGTCCAACAAATAAGTCACTTTTGATCCGAATGAAACATGCTATTTTTTCTGCAACCGAAACAATTAACTCAAATAAACATATGAAGTAACCACCAATGCCGTGCCATATGTATGGAATGCAACAATGATTGACAAATAATCCATGTGGTGAAAATATTCTACCTGCATTACCAGGAGGTTTGGTTTTCCAGGATGTTCGAATTTTAGTTTCAATATAAATACAACCACAGAGTGACATATTTGTGTATGGACCAGGTGCTCTAATAGCAAATACCGCGCCAGTGCCAGCTATAGGAACAAGACGTGGAAAATGTTAGGTTAGTGAGCATATCAACCATGATAATAGTGATTATTAATTCGTCTCCATACTACACTGTGTTTGACCTGATAATCAAACGAAGCTGAACAATATCGTTGTTTGAGACTAAAACTATTGCTTGCCGTGATTATTCAAAAACAAGTTCGAGAATAACGAATGAAATACAGATCAAGAAAGAATCTTGAAGGCTTCCCTGATCGAAACAAAAATACTTATCTGAGATGTTTATAATTCCGATACTAAACTATAATAAGGTGTATTTATATCTCCAGCATGGGTATGAAATGCCAAATCTGCTGAAGTCGGAAACAAATCAGGTATGCGTCTCAACCCAAATAACCAACCGTCACAATGTTGTTTATTCTTGATGACGTCCAGTACATCCTTTAAAGTTCAACTTTAGCTCCTAGGAACTAAAATTCAACTTTAGCTCCTAGGAACTAAATATATCTTGCCTACAACATACCTATTTTTGTGTCAGTAATAGAAACGTCAATTCAGGAGCTAATTTTGGTATCAAAATGGACGACTTTTGTGTCGGTTGCAGAAAATAGCTATTAGTACGGTGTTATTAACCTAAAAAAAGGCCTAACCTTGACATCCAAAGTAAAAGTTTTATTCCAACTTCAAATTGTTCTATATAACCCTCTTATTGTTTGGTAAAAAGTTACACCTTTTTGAGCGTCGGGTTTGGGGGGGAAGGGGGGAGAATTTGAAAAATCACTAGTTTTTTTAGTTTTTCGTAAATATTTCAAAAATTAAGCGGTTTATCCTAAACATTGTTATATACAAAAATGTTTTACGTTGAATTTTAAATAAGAATGGTCCTCTTCATAATCACTCTAAATTGTACCGTTCAAGAGTTACAGACGGTGTAAATGTTAACTTTTTCGTATTTTGATAATTTTTTTAAAAAATTAGCTTCGTAAAAGAATGTTGCTATTTCAGTGGCCGGTGGTATGTTAGTGATAAGCCCTTGAAGGAACGACAACCTCACCACCTTTTCAAGGGGCACTCTTTTTTAAGGGAGAAGAGGCTTCCACAGGCTTAGGCCATATGAACCTGTGGTACGGAGAAACCCACCCTGAACTTTCTACGAACATTGCAACATAAATTCACTTCTTAAGCATAAATATCTTTCAAATTTGGATGTCTTTATTAACTTCACTCATCCTCCAGCACATTATCCTCCTCCTCTAGCTCGTCGTCTAAGATGTTATTATTGTCCATGTTATCACATGCTTGGCCTGAGCAATTGCTGCATATGCTAGTGCAGTTTAGACCACTCCTTCTGCATTCACAATTACGAACGCATTCATCTTTGCAAGTACACATTATAAGGGACAGTAATTCCTGGGGGGCTGCAGGAGGTGCTGTTGTAATTGGTGTCAGGTGGTCGCCAATCTTCTTCCAACCCCACTCGAGTGGATCCTTATCTTCATTCAGCCACTGTGTGGTACCTGGTGGTAGGTCCTAAATAAATGCTGTCTGGACGCTCCTGAAGTGGGGGGTAGTGCATCTAACTCCAGTAATGCATGTATAGGCTGCTTTGCAATCGCTTTCAAGTAGGACTGGTAGCGAAGACAATCTAGATCTTCAGTGTTCTTGGCTCCAAACATTGCAAGTAGGAAGTAATTTCCTGCATCAGCCACTGCACTGGGGTCGGCTTTGGGGTTGTTGAAGACCAGAAGTTCTTCACGAAGAACGTTGTTGGCTTGAACTCTCCTATGAGGTGCAATTTTTTCCTTCTCATAGACAGCAGACACAGTGTCACATCCTGTGAAGGCGTATGTAACCAGAAATACATCTTTCATATCTTCAATGCCTTGCTGAATGTCAGAAATGATGTACACTTTTTCCTGGTGATTTCCTTTTTCAGGTACGACCATTTTAAGTTTATTCCCTGAAGGTGCGTGGACAGTCAACAGTACTAATAAGTCCGTGTCATCACCAATAACACACGTTTGCGATTGCAAAGCAGCCTATACATGCATTACTGAAGTTGGATGCACTGCCCCCCACTTCAGGAGCGTCCAGACAGCATTCATTTAGGACCTACCACCAGGTAAAACAGTGGCTGAATGAAGATAAGGATCCACTCGAGTGGGGTTGAAAGAAGATTGGCGACCACCTGACACCAATTACAACAGCACGTCCTGCAGCCCCCCAGGAATTACTGTCCCTTTTAATGTGTACTTGCAAAGATGAATGCGTCCGTAATTGTGAATGCAGAAGGAGTGTTCTAAACTGCACAAGCATATGCAGCAATTGCTCAGGCCAAGCATGTGATAACATGGACAATAATAACATCTTAGACGACGAGCTAGAGGAGGAGGATAATGTGCTGGACGATGAGTGAAGTTAATAAAGACATCCAAATTTGAAAGATATTTATGCTTAAGAAGTGAATTTATGTTGCAATGTTCGTAGAAAGTTCAGGGTGGGTTTCTCCGTACCACAGGTTTATATGGCCTAGGCCTGTGGAAGCCTATTTTCCCTTAAAAAAGAGTGCCCCTTGATAAGGTGGTGAGGTTGTCGTTCCTTCAAGGGCTTATCACTAACATACCACCGGCCACTGAAATAGCAACATTCTTTTACAAAGCTTATTTTTTTAAAAAATTATCAAAATCACGAAAGAGTTAACATTTACACCGTCTGTAACTCTTGAACCGTACAATTTAGAGTGATTATGAAAAACACCATCCTTATTCAGAATTTAACGTAGAACATTTTGGTATATGACAATGTTTAGGATAAACCGCTTAGTTTTTGAAATACTTACGAAAAACTAAACAAACTAGTGATTTTTCAAATTCCCCCCCCCCCCCCCTCACCCCAAACCCGACGCTCAAAATGATGTAACTTTTTACCATAGAATAAGGGGACTATGTAGAGCAATTTGGTGTTGGAGGAAAACTTTTACTTTGGATGTTGAGGTTTAGGTCTAACTACACCGTACTATATTTATATATCAAGGTAGCGAAAGTATTTTCCCTCGCGTGTGAAGTTTGATGCCCGTCGCCAAAACACAAGTGAGAATTTATTAATCATAAAAGAATTAATATTTATAAAGTTCCCAACCGTATTTCAACACATGACAACTGTGCAATGGTCTGCCTCTACTTACGAAATCATGGCGTCAGTTTTTACTGGCAATTTTTTAGCCGTTTGAAATCAACCGTGGCATTATTGATGATTTTAGCACCTGAAAATCGACCAACAAATTCTTGAAAAATATAAGATTGAAAGGTATTTGAGTGATGATTCAATTCAAGAAATAAAAAAAATTAGTCAACTCGCCTATTGTCGGGACTTCGGGCTCCCCCTGAGGATAAGGGGCCCTAAGCACTGGCTCCGCGTGCGTTCATGGTAAAGACGGTTTGGTCCTTCCACTGTTTTTTTCTTAAATCTGTATATCGCTACTTTGAAGTTAGGAACAAACTCTCGAACACACTCCCCAGAAGTCGAAACTTGTGTAGGGTTAGAAAGAGCGGGACTTGTAGCTTATAGTAGAATCCGAACCACTTCTGGGGCATCGAGGTGCTGCCAGGATTATAAGCATGAATCACACATTTCAAGGAAAAATTATCAGCCAAGCCGTATTCGAACCGACAGTAACCTGCATCGTGCTATCTAGCGAATTTCAGCGCATAGACAAACTCGGCCACGGAACTGTAAATTACGGAGTCTGCACCATAGTGGCCGGTTGTGAACTATATGAAAGTACTTTTTCAAATGTATGATAAATTGACATTCATCATACAGGACGTGGAGAGAAATTCTGAATTGAGAAAAACCTAATCACGAATCTGCGATTGAGGTCTATAAAAATAACAAGTTTCCATCGTTCAAGTTTGAACCCCTTGATTGGGTGGAAGTATTGAAAAGGAACATTCTCAGATATATTTATGAACAGAAAAAAATAGATATATATATATATATAAAAATAAAGAAATACATTGAGAATTCGCATTCTACATGTGATGAAAATATCAATTATTTCACGGTTTATTCAACAGAAAACAACTACTTTCCTGGCTATATGCCACGACAAATATTGAATTACATCTATTGAACACACACGATGAGAATTTGAAAAAATCTTCTGAAGTAGAGAAAAAATGTAAAAAATCGCATTTTCCGGAAATTTGTCAAACTTCTCACTTTAGAACGCTGTAGTTCACTTATGGCCCATTCTAGGGAAACAAGTATCGGAAGAAGATTTGTAGGGAATTCAATTACCTACAGGAATGCATGTACAATTTTTTTCACCAACCCTACGGAATGGGGGGTGAAAATGAAAGTTAAAACAACGGCATATTGCTTTTTTGGCTATTGTGCCTTTCATGAACTCTGAAGGCATGTGAAATAACTTCCTCTGACAACAATGATGGTATTGTGCATCAGCTGCAACGAGGTCCAAGTCAGGAGGAATTCGTTCCAAAATGTTTTGTCCCCATTCGTCCCCACGTTTATAGGCAGCATTCAAAAACGTGTCCCTTACTGAGTGCATCTGGACCATATGGACAGTGTTTCGTTTTGCAACAGGAAGTTTCTTCTGTTTTTCCAAAAATTCAGCAGTTATTTCTTCACCACGAAGGCAAAAGTGGAAACATTTCACTACTGACCTGAGCACATGCCTACCAGAGCTCGTTGATGGCTGGTGGACCGAATCAATTGTAGAGATTTGTAACTTCATAGTGAAATAATCCAATAGATAATGGTTTGTTCACATTTTCATTATCAAATTCGTGTTTATCAGACAAAAATTTCGAAAAAAACATCGCATAATGAGTGCAATTTTACCGTGTATTCTTGTGAATCGGGGGAGCTTTTCAGCAGATATTCGTTCAATAAAGTTCGTTTCACAACTTATGACCACTTCAAATAAAAATGCCACAATTTGAGGATACGTTAATTTGCATGTCGTTCCCACCCACTGAGCAAAGTTGAAAGCTATGTTGATGCAAAGTTGAAGGAATTACTGAAACGGACGTTCGGCAATGTTGCAAAGGTGAAATTTGATAATGAAGCGTTGCATCAATATCACATGTTGCTGTGACATTGCTAGAACATTACATTTACAAATTTATATTTGCAATATTGCAGAGCGCCCGTTTCAATAAAGTGTTACAACCTTGCATCCACATAGCTTACAAATTCGCCAAGTGAGGCATTCAGTAGTGGAATAAACATTGCAAAATAATTGGAATGGATATGATGTTGAAGTTATCAGAGTTGGGTATTTGAGATGTATATATTGTAGTCGAATCATCAACTTACATGTGTTTATATGGAAGAAATTCCGCAAAGGCGGATGTATGTGCGAATAATTGATCTACTTCTGGTAGGAAAAATTGAACATATAATGTGCTTTGCTTTTGAGTGAGGATTTTATTTGGCGAATTCCTTCTGTAACTTCACTTCTGGGAATAAAATGCAACTGAATTCAATCTCAAATTTTGAAGAATATCTTTCAATTGAACCATAATGCAGGGGTTAGATGAATTTTTTCCCCTTCAAATTTAATAAACAAAATAATTTCAATAATGTTCTGATACTATATGTCGAGCTATATGTGTAACTTTCTTCATTTTCAATGTGATTACAGATAATTTTTTCACCTTCATATGAGCGATTGTATGGTAAGAATTTCACTTCACACTCATTTTTGTCTCTTTTTGGACTAATTTCTTATAGGCTGATGATGGACATATGTATGTCCAAAAACATGTTCCCCCTGATGTGACATTGTTCACATATAGTAAACTGTCGTGGAGATGATTTTGAGTTTTAATCAGCTATTATTAATATTTAATGTAGTTCATTGGAAATTGTCTTCCTATTTTTGATCGTAGAAGCCGCTGATGAAGGTTGGCAGGCTAATTTCGGACACCCTGTATAAATTAGTGAGTTCTCAATATAATGCAAAATTCTACATGTATGGTATCATTCCAAACTGCATTTTATTTGAATATACAGGGTGTTTCCTAACTACGGTTCTTAACTGCAGGGGGTGATTTGTTAGGTCATTTTAAGAAGAACATATGAATGAACATATGTCCGTAGTTGTTTCGTTTCTGAAATACAGGGCGTTGAAATTAATGAAAAAAAACGGTAATTATAAAATATCAAGAATATCCTGAAACCGATTTGGTTGAAATTTGGTACTTTTATTTGTCATTTCTCTGAAATTTTAGCATATATTAATTAATTTTTAAATTTTCGTCCGAAATAATGAAAAACTCATTTCTCCAATGCAGGTGTTCATGATATGCAATACAGTGGCTTTGATTTTTTTTTCTCGAAAACGAAGCTGGATATGAAGAACATGCAAGAGACCAAAAAGTTGAATTTTGAGTTGCTCCATCTAAACAAAATAAAAATTTACCAAAAAAGTCAGTGGCGTACTTTTTTTTCACAATATTGTTGGCTGTGGTGCCCACTGAGACGCCACTGGCTCCAATAATTTCAATCTAAATAGGGCTAAATAAGCGCCTTATTAGTTCAAATGAAAGTACCAAATTTCAACAAAATCGGTTCTAGGATAATCATGATATTTTATAATTATCGTTTTTTTTTCTGTAATTTCAACGCCCTGTATCTCAGAAACGTAGCAACTCCGGACATATGTTAATAGGAACTTTTCTTTCTAAAATGACCTAACGAATCACCACCTGCAGTTAGGAACCGTATATGGAATATATTTTTGATATGATTGGATATTTTTGTACTGTACATACCTTAACTACATATACGTATGTGAGACATATTCCCAATGTGTAAAATGGACTTGACATAAATAGCCAGTTTGAAGTCCTTGAATCTGAAATCAAAGAAAAATCCTAAATTCAAAATTATTGAACGTTGTTCGACAAGCACTTTGCGGCTAATGCTGCAAATCGTATGTGTGGAAAATCAATCTCGAAATTACTATTTCACCTCGCATTTCACTATACTTTTTTTACGGCTTCGACATATAAGAATTCTATATTTGATATTATTCGAAATCCCCATATATAATTGAAGTATCAATTACATAATTATTATTATTGAATAACTGAGAAACGATATTCAATCATTTCATTCAGAAGATTTTTCACACCAGTAATTTCCAATTATTCGAATTGGTTTTTTTGATAAATCACTATAGGGACGGATGTATTTTAGTGAATTTTTTTCTCTTGGGAACACAACAACGAATTTAGTCGAAGATTTTTTGACGTTCCAATGACAGAATAATATTATAATTTTTCACCACGTGAATATAGTCACCCGAAGTTGATATAAAATGAAAGAATATGTTTCATTCTCAACTATCTCTATTTCATGCAGCTAAAATAGTTGGAAATCAAGAATTTTTAAGCTACACAGTGGAGAAAAAATAACACCAGTTCACACCAGCTAACACCTTGGGTGTCCCCTGATGAGGTCCTGATTGTTTCTATGAGAATTAACACTGATATTTTTAACACCATCATAGGGTGTCATTCGTTCTTACATATACAGTCAAGAACTACACTAGAGTACCGAGTACCTAGTGCTAATTTGATCGATTCGTGTTATTGAACACCAAAGTGGTGTACTATACAATCATTTGGTGATTATGTTGACACTGTAACTGTTGCGTTTTTGCTTCCACTGATAATATATGATATGCGAATATTTTTCGGATATTTTTCTGATGTAAAAACACACTTATTGAGTGTTATCAAGTTGATAAGCGGTGCTTTCTTGTCTGCACTTTCGGAAAAAAATCCAAAAAGCTGTTTTGGCGTCATGACCGATTTTGGCAATTTGTACACTGGCATTTTTCGGTAAAATGACCAGTTTCGGCAAAGTGTCCACCGATCTGTTATGGCATTTTGACCAGAAATTCGACGACTTGTCCATTCGGCAACTTTTCCATTCGGCGCAGTATATGAATCCCCGGTGGACATCTTGCCGAAAATGGTCATGTTGCCGAAACGTATAAAACGACGCTGCATAGATCAGGTATAGAGTGTCGAAACCAAAAGCTCAATTTTGCTTGAAACGTCAGAAAAGTTATTTGGACACATCGTCGAAATTCACTGAAAAAAATAGTCGGTAGTAAATACCGAACGTTCAGTTAAATAGGCGCTAGTCACCACATTCATCTAATAATACTTACCACTACAAACTCTCACAATATTATAATATATCAAATATTACGACTACAAAATAGTATGATGAGATACAATTTTGTTGTGATATTATTTGATGAATGTATTGACTGGCGCCTAATATCTTTTACTAAACGTTTGGTATTCATACCGACTATTTCTCTAAGTATTGGTGGTCATTATGCCGAAACAACTCTTCGGAACATCTCACCAAAAGTGACTTGTCCATTCCGCAAAGTCTTGGGATTCCTAACATGGTAAAAAACATATCAGCTATTCCTTGAACATCAACTAATGAAATTCGAGATCTTGAATACCTTGAGGATAATCTGACAGCTTTCTTGTGGTTCTTCAATTATGTGTTACTTTGTCTCGATGATAATAATATCCCTATGAATAAGTAGGTAGTAATTCAATGAATTTCGATCACTGCCATGTATGAATTTAATCAAATATCAAATTCCTGTTGAATGAAGCTCGCTCACAAGTTTAGTTCAACAAAAATTTGAACGAACTATAATAAATGTACATAAGGAATTTTCACTCACCTTCATATTTATTCAAGATATTATTTATATCTCTCATAGTATCAACTATAACAGCCATATCGAGCTATCTGTAACAAAGAAGTTCGATCAGTACAAGTTTATTCATTATTGGGATGAATATTTGAGGCATTATGAATAGTTTCGACACAAAAAATTCTTGAACTTGAAAAATCTCGATTTTTCACACCCTATATCTTAGTTATTATTACTGCTATACCACAAGTATGATGGGTCGTCGAAATCAGCTCATCAGGAAGAATCTCAAAATGAAATAATATATAGGGTGTTCAAATGAAAAGAGTATAACTTTAGTGTTTTGCGCTTTTTGGGGAAGCCATATATGTTTTGAAACATTCCCAAATGGTAGCTTATAATTATTGACATGCAACTTCCTAGAGAAGAAGAATTCCATAAAGATGAGTGGTTAGCCTTCTAGAGACCGAGGCGTTACTGGTGGCCCACCCTGTATAATATCTTCTCAATATTGATTCGTCCTTTTTTCTGTCACAGAAAAAAATAGCGTATTATAGATACACGGAAAAAATATTAGATTTTAGCTCCAGGTTGTGTTGTCTCCCGACGCCTAACTTTTCCTCCATAGGAAGGAAAAGTGAAATTGACGTCATGGTACGTCATCAATGATAGTAGATTGTTTTATTAGGATCAAAAATGACACTTTGTTTGACAAGCGAATTTTGCATTTGCGAGGCGGAGCGTTTAGCGAAGCCGAGGATATTGTGATTGCAAATTATTACAATTCCCACAATCTCTTTATTTTTCCTGTAGTATTCAATTAAAATGGAATTTGATAGAAATCGCAGTTGTCCATGATAATTATAGTTTGATAATTCATGAAAATGCTGACAGTTGTGCGAAAAAATATCGGTATTATTATATAATGGACAGTGATAGCGACCTGGAAGTACTTACACCTCCAGAAATAAGGGAGGTAGCAAAAAATATAGAGTTGAATTTGTTGCCGGAGAAGTCTCGAATGAAATATGAAGGAAATTATAAACGATTTATGGATTATTAATTTTGCTGATACATAATATCAATCAGCAAAGTAACCACTTTGCTGCCTAGGCAGGAAAAGTAATACTTTTCTGATTGATATGTGTCAGCAAAATTAATATTTGCTGCCAATCGGAGACAAAATAACTTATAACTCATACGGCATTGACGACCAAAACTATATTCGATTGATTGTACAGGGTTATTCACGTTATTCGACACGCAGCATTGAGACTAAAGCATTTGCTATCTTGACAGTTTTTTTTTTCGGAAAAATAGGAACCTATTCGCGAAAATCACGAAGTGTGCGGCCTCTGGTGGCTAACTGTACAAGTCTTGCGAGTATGAACAACAAATATGGCGACCATTGTTTTGAATTTCATAAATATGTATTTTATTCCAAAATAATTCATTTGTTGAAGTGCATATTCCAGAACCTCATTTCTCCCTGATGAAAAAACTCGAATTATTGCATGAACTTTTATTGTTTACAATGAAGAAACCAGTACCTACCTTATAAAATAATATAATATACATTTGAATTAGAATCATTGTATAAATGTTGGTTGCAATGATTAGATCTTGAGAATAACTTGAAGTCCTCAATTGCTGGAGATCCTTGTTTATGTAAATCGATGATATTGTTCATTCTGAGCAGCCTCTCCAACCATATCTTCTTTTCCAACCCCTTCACTAGAATTCCATCTCCTTCATAAGAGCCAGTAATATTTCTTGATGAATTCAATTATTTCTTCATACCCATACCATATTGTTGTAATAGCTGATTGCTTGTATGGTTCAATTCCACCATGCAAGTGTTGAGTGGACCATTCCGATCATTCCTTATGTTTGAAAACTGTGGGATTGTAGTGTGATATCAATGATAAATACCACCATTGTCCACATCAAAATGGCAATTTCTCTGCACAAAAAGTAATTTTTTCCATACTGGAAACCTTGTACGTATTTCAAGAAGTCAACTTATTATTCACTATTTTGCAAAATGATTTGGAAATAACCAATTTGCAATGAGTGCATACGGCAATGTTTTTGTTGTTCATACTCAGTTGGAAATTTGACGTTGATTTGACGTTTAATAGAGCCATCTATTGGTTCGTGATTTTCGCGAATAAGCGATACTATTGGAAAATATTTTGATGTTGTACAGGATGTGCCAAAACACGAAATGTATCAAAGTTGCTATTTTTCAAATGAAATACCCTGTATATCATTGCGTTCTCAGATTCTTCCTGAAGAGCTGATACCATAATTCATCACACTTGGGATCTAACAGTAATTATCACAGAAATATATAGGGTGTTCAAAATCGAGATTCTTCAAATTTATTATTTTTTTGTGCCGAATTTATTCATTATTGGTCAACACGGCTTACACGTCCCTGTCTTAACTTTCGATATACTATCTACTGACATTTTATTGGAACAAATACAGGGTGGTTCAAGATTCACAATTCTGATTACCCTGTATCTGATCCAATTTAATTACTCTATCACAAATTGAAAATATGTAATATGTAATATGTCCCTATTTCAACGTTTGAATTACTATCTAATGAAATTTAATTGGAATAGATACAGGGTGAACAGAAATCTTGAAATTTGAACCACCCTGTATTTGTTTCAATTAAGTGTCAGTAGATGGTGAATCAGAAGTTGAGATAGGGGCATGTAAGCCGTTTCGACCAATAAAGTTGAAAAATATAGATTTTTAACACCCCATATCTCCATAAACATTTCAGCTAGTCCCCAAGTGCGATACATTGATGAAATCAGCTGCTAAGGGAGAATTTGGAGATGTAATAATATACAGGGTGTCTCATTTGAAAACACCCATCATCAACCGATATCTTGGAATTCGAACACCCTATATATAGATATGAAAATAATTTTACTTGATAGTTCCCAAGAAACTCTATAAATGTTGTATTCGATTTTTTTCTATATATCTGACGGTTTGGCTAATATAGAAGGAAAACACATTATTGTCTCACCCTGTATATAACATGAGGGTAAAATGCTTTTTCCTCCCTGGAATGATTACTGCCCTCCGATAAGAGTCGGGAAGTAAGCTTCATCCTCGGGAGAAAAAGTTGCACTTTCCTCCCTTGTGATACAAATAGCTCTTTATCAATCTGAATAGGCAACAGTGAATGAATCAAGAGTTAGGACGCTCCAAATTTGTTGAGTTACTTATAGACATAATGCAAAACCACTCTTTCAACGCTGGTAATTTCTTATATATGCCAAAATATGTATTTGGGAATTTCTGAATATTATATATTGTGGTATTTGATGACTATTTATACATTTGTTACCTGAATCACAGTCTGGAAAACTCCACTATACAGGGTGATTTACCTAATGCTATATCAGATTTAGGTGCCGTTCACACCCAAACTTTTTACGTTTTGCTTTTTACGTTTCGCATTCTGATTGGTGAAAGCAAAAGCCGGAATGGACATGACGCAAAAAGTTGAATATTTTCATCTTTTTGCGATGCAAGATGCCACTATGTGAGAAAATCGCACGATGAGGGAAAATGGAAAAATAGACGAATATTCAATACTTAACCTTTTTTCACACCATACCTCAATGACAGTCTTATCCAATATTCGCCTTTTTAGGATAGATTCTTCTCCTTAAGGAGCAATTTACGTCTCTGCCAGTACTCATGAATGTTATTCGTTATATAAATAATGTTATTGTTGTGATTATTTCACTTCATTTCAGGATGAAGCACACGTGTCAAAACCGAGGCAACTGAGAAAAGCCGTAAAAACTCACGTTGACGTTTTCTTGGTGAGAATGACATATGCTTCAGTTTAATACACGTTTCATTTCAGATTTCGCTTCACCAATCAAAATACGAAACTTAAAGAAAAACTTGGTTGTGAAGCTTGCTTCATTCAGTGGGTTGTCCTCACCAAAATGAGTTCATGAAATACGAAATTAGAAAGAAATGATACGTATTTGGGAATTTATATATGAATACAGGTGGAAATAAGTGCAAATATTTCGAACACTGCGAAAGCTTGACGTGTACTATCAAATAGCACTAATTAAAAAAATTTAGGAATCAAAATAAAATTTGAGGTTAGACCCCTTTTCCCACCCAAAGATCTACAGTGTAGCTAATCTGACGTCATCTCTGTTCAAATTTCAATGCGGTAAGCACAATCACGCGGAGTTTAATCATTATTCATTTATTTTGTTCAATTTTTGGGATGGAATTTCTCGTTAATTAGGAGAATTAGAAAAAATTAGATATCATGGGAATATTTCTCAGACTGAATCGTATTAATTAATGTGCTGAATATGTGCACTTATTTCAAAAACACCTTGTATTGTGGTATTTGATGAATGTTTATACATTTGTTACCTAAATCACAGTCTGGTAAACTTCACCACAGGGTGAGGTACCAAAAGCTATATAAAAATTATTCAGTGAGTTGTCCTCACCAAAATGAGTTCATAAAATACGAAATTAGAAAAAAATAATGGCAAATATGAATCAATAGTTATTTTTGTATCTAGAGCGCGAAATGCTCCTTTGGTGATCAAGATCTGATTTTTTTAAAGAGGCGTAGTCGAGTTAAAAAAATAGTCGAGATGACCAAAGTATTTCGCGCTCGAGTTGCAAACATTTTTTCTACAAACGTCGAATAATATAGTTCTGAAGTAAACATATGCTTAGCTTCATATAAAAAATGGTCTTGAACTGGCTCAAAAGGCCTCCCCCTCTATCCTCCCTAGGTACGCACGATGTTCCATGAACACAATAGGAATTTCCTTTCGTGCGCTCCAAGAGATAAAACAAAGTAGTAGTTGAATATTCAGAAATGAATGATTTCGTGGATGTTTGCTCGATGATAGAACCATAAAGTTGAAATATAAATATCTCATATATTTTACATAACAATGCGCGAAGAAGGTACTTCGCGCATTGTTTTGTGCGGTTTTGTGCAAGGTATCATGGTTACTTAGGAAACTGAAAAAAAGTGTCACTTCGCAATTTGTTATCAAT